CCTAAAAAAAAATGGTGGGCGAAAATCGGAAGCCTCGGGCTTCCAAACGGAAGTGGCTCTACAACGGTGGAGAGCGATCAGACGGGGGTGGTGGTTTTAAAGCGATTACAACCGTTGCACTCAGGATACCACCACTTGGGGACCTAGTGGCAAAATACAACGGTTTAAAGCTCTTTGCAACGGTTAGGGACGGAAGGCAGATGTTCGCCGTGTGAATGCCGGTAAGTACACCGATTCCAACCGGCACCTATACCGTTGCAAATGCCCCGTCTGAACGGACCCATAGTGTGTTCACCTCCCTAAGATCACAGGCTTTTCTCATATAAGGGACTACTTCAATTAGGGACCAACTAGTTCAATTAGGGTTGAGATTTTGAGTGGCTTTAACTGTACTTCAATATAGTTCTCTTCGGGAAGTCTTAGAAAATGAATTTTGTTCGTGATCAGGTATTGACTGTCTGCTGCATTGGAGGCTTCCCCCAGGTTTGGGGACAAGAAGCATGTTTCCTCCCCGTCAACATATGGCATAGATAGTGTTCAAGCAGAGTTGGAAAATATTAGCGGTATAAATGCCTTACAGGGCTTTGTGTGGTGTTCGCTTGTGGCATAAACATCCAAATGGCATTTGATGCAGCTTGGATGTAACAGTCCTTTGGTTCCTTCCATTTCTTTAATTTTATGTACCAGATTATTTTATGGCATACAAAAAGAAGTTGCCAATACTGCTTTAATGAATTTCTGTTCCTGGAAGAAGTACATGGAAAGTGAGTAATAGAAAGGAACATCCAAAACTAAATTTGATTGCATTCATGCAAAATGTATGGCTGCTAAGAGAGCAGTTTCCTTGACATTACATTGTTTTAGAAAAGAAAGGAAAATTGCTCTGCATTTGAGCTGGACATTAAATTAGTTTCAGGTTTAACTTCAGCCTAGAGGTCGGAAACACACACTTTCCCCACAGTAATGCAGCTGAAGAGAAAGTTATATTTTTCTTTTTAGGTGTCTGGTTAAAGGACAGAATGCTCTAATAGAATTGGAGACACAAAGACCCATAGCTTTAGAACTTTATAAAGACTTTAAAGAACTTGGAAGATTTATGTTACGCTACAGTGGATCTACCATAGCAGCAGGAGTTGTCACAGAGGTATAGTACAATTTATAAATTATTTCATAAATGTATAAATTATTTTATTAATGGTAATATTAAAATCAGTGAGGTTCTAACCACTGTTTTTGAAAGACCCAGGTTACTGGTATATGTGGATACTTGGGAATGCTACCAATTTACTCTGAAAAGATATTTTAATTACTTTGTGTAAAGATATTTTTGTTATAATCTTGGGAAGTTTAGCCTTTTTTGTCTCTAGCCAACATCTGTCTAGTAAACTATTCTATAAATTGGTCACACCGGTTTTGTGTAGAAGTTGTCACATTGTGCTGTGCGGTACAACATTCAAGTCCAGTGACACCTTTAAGGTCAACAAGGTTTTATTCAAGGTATAAGGTTTCATGGGCGTGCACACTTCCTCAGATACATTGAAATTCTGCTACTTCAAACCAACACGGCTACCCACTTGAATTTGTGCTGTGCAGAATGAGCCTGGGAGAAGTTATGGGCTTAGGCACTGCCACTCCCCTTTCATGCCATAAGTTTAATTAGTTCCTGCTTTGCAACAAATGCTAGTTTTACTGCTACGTCTGACTGGTAAACGGTAGTTTCATATATGGTTTGCAGGGATTTATATTTTCCTATGGTACTCTGTGATTCACTCATTCTTCCTTGATGGAGACTGCTTGGCTGGCATTGCTCATGCTTCAATAGTGGCTTGAATGCGTAGAAGAAGCTTGGTTAAACCTACCGTCAATTCATCGAACACCAATTTCTGATTGTCAGCTTTTTGCAAAAAATGGCAATGTGTTAATTTCCTTAATTATGGTACTGTGTGTGATTAGTATGTACACACTGGAAACCCATCCAAACACCTAAAAACTACAGTGAGGAGAAAACTAAAATGATGGTTTTAGTTTATCGTAGACTGCTGAGTTTAAGCATGTATTATTCCAGCGGCCTTATCTTCACACTAGATATAAATGGTTTTTTAATTACTTCGATAAATTATAGATAATTTATAGATATAGATGTGATATAGCTCTTTAGTGGTACAGGTTTTCCTCTGCTGGAACTGCATTTACAGTATCCTTCTTACGTGAAAATAATGAAGAGATGGTTTCTGCACCTTAAGATCACATTTCTGCCACTTAGTACTTTTATCCCAGCCAACGGAGGAAATCATTTCCAAAGGGCTTTCTTTGCAGTTCTGTACTCAATCTCACTGATGTGAATAAGTACATAGCTAACATGAGTAACTAAGCACAGGGTTACAATCCATGTACTGATCTGTATTTAAGTTGTTCTTACATGACTTCCAGTTACTAATATCTTCGTTTTAAACTTAAATTTGAACTGAAGTCTGATCCTTAACATCTGTGTTCTGAAATACACTCTTTAACAATGTAGGATGTTGCCTTGTACCCAAGTCAGACCACTGGTCCATTCTACTTTAATGGGCAGCCACTCTCCAGGATTTCAGGCCTGCTACAAAGGTTCTTTTAAGTGAGAGGCCAGGGATTTTCTTGAGGCCTTCTTCACATAAAGCAGATGCTCTTCTACTTAAATTATGGCCTCTATACCTTTTAAACAGTTTCAGTATTGTGCCTGTATATGGTACGTCACTGTTCAGAAGTTTTTGATTCAGATTGGTAAATTTTCACTTGAAAGTTTGACACAGAAACTCATACTCTAATTATTTGCAATGTCTTTAGTATTTTCTCAGAAGTTTTCACTTAATGTTCTTGGGTTTGTTTAGATTAAAGAGTGATTGTGGTACCAGGACTTCTGGATTCCAACCAAACTGAAGAATCTGGCTGAATACCCTTGTTTGAAGAATCTTGTATCATTTGAAGGAACAAAGGCAATTACATTGTTGAGAAGAGGGAAGACAGTACTGGGAATTCTGCAAGCATTTGGGGGCTGTCATTGCTGCAAAACAATATGCCAAGAGGGGAAATATGAAAATTGCACTACTTCATTGCACAGGTTCCACCCAGTCTGAAACCTCACCCTATCCGTTGGACTGTTTATGAAAAGTTGATCAGAATAATGTATTAAAAGAATGGTGACTCATCATGAAAAAAGCTTGTTACTTCCGGCCTTAAAACTTTGTTTACAATTTTTTTTGAGCTGCTTATTTGCTGCACACTTTTTCATAAATTACTTCAATTGGGCTGAAACATTTCGGGTTTTTATACACACACACTTTCCAAGAATCTTGTTTCCTTCTGTTTCAGAAAACAGAACATAATGCTGCACCCAGAAATAAATTTATTCCTATCCTAATTTTATTTAAAAACTTATTTGTGTAGATGTAGTTTGTCCAATAATGGCTAATCTTATTTTTTAAATTGTAGAAGTATAATAAACTACTTGGTCTGAGCATAATACTGGTTTCTACATGAGTGTTTTATAAATAAAAGCCATGATCAGAATAGTCAAACATGCCTCTTCAGAAGAGTTGTGTTCCATAGGATACTTTTCATACTTTAAACATATAGGTGCATTCCATGATATAACGTCTGGAGATTTATAAGCCATTATTGTAATTTTCATGTTTTGGAAATCTTCTGAACTCTAGAGCTACTTCTAGATAATTTAGGCATCATCTTTGAAAGACACATGTACACACCTATCTTCAGATACAGGTATTTCGTCTTAAAAAAATGTAACCAGTGTAGTCCAGTCAATTGAAGCTGTCACTATCCAGTGAAATTTAGACATTTTCAAGCCCAATATGCAAGTGGCCACAAACACCCACCTAGGGAAGTCCATCTACAATTCACAACTATGTTCAAAACTATATATTACATTCATTGAAATACAAAGAAGGCTTAGTGGTCACAACCCAATAGAGTGTATAGACATTGATCCAACAGATTGCTCATGACAATCAAACATAGTTTTTTTTAAAAAACATATTCAAAACCAACAGTAGGCTCTTCTGTAATTCCATGCATAGATAGTGCCCATAGACCTCCAAACAGAAAGTGACTGTAGCAGAAGACTCCCACTGTGGAAAGAATAACAGCGGGACGCCTCTCCCAGGTATAAATCAAGCGTTTCAATGATCTTCAACAGCAGCTGGTAAAACGGAACCGTGAGGCAATCATAAATATACACAGACAGACAAGATTGACTGCATGATGCATATATCAGTTCAAAAACGTAGAAAAAATGTCTCTCACCCCGATTTCCAAAATAACATAGGCACAGCTCAAAAGCTTCAATGGAATCCTAGGGTTCTCTACAAGGCAACCTGCCATGCAGTATAGTTTCTTAAAGTGGACGCATCCCATTTTTCACAAACATGCCTGAGTTTCACATACACTCCTATTCCAATCAATTGCAATCTTCCTCAAATAAAGGCAGCAAAATCAAGCATCTGATTCATTCCATTTGGTGCTAAAGTTTTAAATTCAAAAATCAGTCTAGACTCCTTTTGGATTAAAATTTGATTAGCATTTTGGAAGGTGAATGGTTTACTCTGATGCACACATGCCACAAAAAACCTCATCTCTTCAGCACTTCAGAGATCATGCAGTCAAGATTGTCTTTCTATGACTGCGGTCACACGGAGCATTAGGCATGCTAGAGGGACGGAAGATAGGCGGATTTTCCGGGCGCGATCTCACTGCCACATCTGGGAAACGTAGAGCTCCCGTGGCGAACCCGAGGCTTCCCGCCGAAGATGCACGGTTAAAAACTAGTACCTCGGTAACCGCGGGGCAAGGGCGGGCGTCTGATCGCGTTTCTGGTGGTAGTTCCGGCGCCCACCCATGCCCCCTCGTATAAAGGGTTTTTTTTTTTCAACTGTCCATGGGATGCGCACAAACACCCAATAGTGCATGCGCACACTTTGGTGTCCGAAAAAACCCCACCCGTTCGCTGCGCCACACTGCGTCTTTGCCACGGTGCAGGATTGTGGTGTGCTCGGCACCTCCCCCCTACCACGGGACCTCCACGGTACGTCTGCTGGTGCAACCACACGTTATTTTGCCCCGGGGCAAACAGCCACACTCCCTCCCCCCCGCATTTTCCTGCCCGTGTGACCCAGGCCTATGTATATTTATGATTGCTTCATGGTTCCGCAGCTGCTGTTGAATGTAATTGAAATGCTTGATTTATACCTGGGAGAGGCATCCAGCTGTTATTCTTTCCACAGTGGGAGTCTTCTGTTGCAATTACTTTCTTTCTGGAGGTCTATGGACACTATCTATGCATGCAATTACAGACGAGTCTACTGTTGGTTTTGAATATGTTCCTTTTTAAAAACTACAACAATGGACGTCAGTGCCTCATTTTGAAGCAGGAGAGGAGATACAGGATAATAGACCTTACATTTTTTCAAGAAACTATGTGAGACAGTTTTATATACCCAACTTTTATTTAAAGTTGATTAATTCAGCTTCATTCATGTTCTTAGGCTGTGTTAAAAAAAGGTGGAATTCCAGCCTGGTACTTCCATTTGGTAATCATACTGTGAATTACATGCGACAGCATACCCTGTCACTATAGGGCATAGTTTTTTCATGACATTGATCTCAAGTTCTATTCCTTTGGTATAGTTTTGAGCGTTGCTACCCTCTTATTTTTGTGCAGTATTTGTGCAATGGGTGGTTGTTTTGAGCAGTGTGTCATGCAAAGCACACTGCAGCATTGAGAAGACTGCATGTACTTGTTAACTGTGGGAAACCACAGAAAAGGTGGGATGGCACTTAGGAGCCTGAGTTCCTACATCCATATATTTGTACTAACAAGACAATGTGCATACCTGGAAATCCAGCAAGGCCATCGCAAAACCGACAGAAGCATGGCAGCTCACAGAGTTACAATGTAGGGCAATATACAGACATGTAATGCAAGTACCGTTCAGCAGTAAATCATGAGAACTGGCCCTTAAAATGTCTCAAGTGTGTTTCAGCCAGCAACAGTCTCTCTGCAGATGGTATTTTTAGTTTTTGGAGTAGTAAGTAGCCAATTATACACACAGTAAAAGGTTTATGTAGCAAATGACAAAAAGTACAATAAGAATTTGCAAGATTTAATGATCCAACATACTGGAGCCCCCAATATTTATTTTTAAAACAATCCAAAAATTATATGTGTGGAATGGGTATGAACTTACAACTATTGCTAGATATTTCACTTGCCTGAAACAGTCTCCATTTTTTAAATTTACACATCTCTTTTGTCCCCAGCGGGGACTCAAAGTGGCTTACAACATTCTACCCTCCTATTTTATCCTCACAGCAACCCTGCAAGGTAGGTTAGGCTGAGTGCGTGTGACTGGCCCAAGGTCACCCATGACAAGAGTGGGGATTTGAACCTGAGTTTCCAAGAACCTACTTCAGTGCTATAACCACTACACATACTGGCTCAGTCCTGCCTTGCATTACAAGCGATCAGTTTCTTCTTTAGATTGAGGAACATAGCCCGAGCAAGTCATTTGTTGGTAAGTTGCAATGTGACTTTAAGTAGGGCATTTTCCCAAAAAAGCTCTGACAAATTTTGGAGACTCTATAATAAGGCCCGAAGAGGTTCTTCTGTTGCTATACACACTGCTTTGTGAATGAAATAATCCTACGTAGCTTGTTGGAGAGAGCCATACAGCTGTGAAAGCTCAAATGACAACAATGTGGTTTAGGGACTTTGCACCAATTTTAGATTGTATTGGATTATTTTAAAAATCCTATTCATATAGTCCCTTCTGTTAATACATATTGCATTTTGAGTGCAAGTAATGACTCATTAGGGATGCGTATGAAAAAAAAATTCCAACTATTTTACCTGGATAGGAATTATGAAATTGGCTTAATGCATTAGCTGGCAAAATGACTCCTGACGTTGATTTATGAGTCAATGAAATAACTATGGACAAGAAACTGAAAAACACTATTTTGTGACTTCAGTAAAGGCATAAGGCCCAGTTAGAATATACAGATGCACAGGTGCTCCTTTCCTTCTACATTTCTTTGATTGTCTTTTAACTACTTCTAACTCGTTCTGTGTGCCTCGGCATTTAGTCATGCCGGCCACATTGTTAGCCATATTGCCCTATTATTTAATAAAGATGGGGAATTATAATTATTAATATGCAATTGGCTTAACTATAGGATCAGACCTGTGTATACCAGAGTCAGAATTCCCAGGAACCCAGGAATAGACAGACTGGGTGGCTAAAATAAGGATTTCTTTACTAAATATTCCCAAGCGCACAAACAATAATTAAACATTCACGCACACAATACAGACTTAAGGAAGCAGAGGTGATTGATACCTAATGGAGGGGTGATACTACCTGTCCAGATGTGCAGAGGTCCATGAAAAAGGATTGTGGCCTAAAACCCAGATGGTTTCAGGGACATTTTGCATCAGGGCAGAAAACACACCTTCTGAGGCCATGTGTACGCTGGGATATACCCACTGGAAGACAATGCAGACCAATGGGCGGTCCTGGGGGCTGGTTTCAGGTGAGAACAATAGATTTCCTGGACCAATGATGAGTCCCAGGGGTGTGTGGCATCAGGATGGGCAAGGCCTAGATGTGACCAATGAGCTTCCAGAGAGGCAGGGTCTGGATTTAACAATAGAAGCCAGGTGCTGGGTGGCTAGTTAAATGAATTATCTGACCACTAATGGTCCTGGCCAGGGTATTTTGAAAAGGCTCTCAAGTATAGACAACAGATGGGCTAAACATTTGAATGATTGATTGGTTTATCCCAGTATCCTGAGGGACAGAGCAGGAAAGACAAGTATTCAGTACGAAGAATTACTGGAGACAGAGTTATTTGCCAAGCGGCTTTTGAATAGACTTTAGAAGTGTAGATACTTTACCTGGTAGAACTCATTGTCATTCCATAAGCATAATCTCTATTGGGTGGAGGGGGAAGCCTGGAGGCTTGCTCTGAGGTTGTCTGTCATCTGAAAATGGAGACCCCCTTTTCAGAGCTGTGGCTAGCTCTGTGTTTCAGAACCAAGAGTGCCTTCCTTGGCCTGAGTTTTGTGGGTCTCTGGGTCAGGTTACAAGTGGGGTGCCCTTGTTATGGGGCGACCCAAGAGTAAAGGCAGTGCCTCTGGCAACAACATGACCACGGAAATGTCTTTGGACAGCGCTGGATTCGGCTGGCTTTCGAGCAAGGGAAACCTTTACCTTTTAACTCTTATCTAATCCAGCCCCCAACAAAAGATGGCTACCTGCCTACCAACCTGTGTAAAGAGCATTCTGCCAAAAGGCATAGAAGAGGGGGTTTGCAGAATAAACAGACTCAGTCATGGAAATGAAGCCCCCATACTGATGAGAGGGGTGGGGTGGGAGTCCTGAAGTCAGTGTCAATGTATCTTTCAATAAAGAGGTCAATCCTAACTGTCACTTTTATTGCAGATAAAAATTCCCATGATCAGCTTCATTGAATGCCCTTTACATAGCCAGATTGCATCAAGTCCTGGAAAACTTCCCATACTTGGATCTAGTTAATGAAGTTTTACAAGGAGGGGAGGAGTTCAAGCTTACCCATGTCAATAAGACAGGTTTGCAGTAAGAGCTGAAGGTTCCACAAGAACATTTGGATAACGCAAACTGCTTACAATGGCCAGCTCAAAAGCTGCTCTGATTTTGGAGAACTATATAGGTGGCCAGTTTGTTCCTTGTGCGTCTTATTTAGATTCCTATGACCCCTCCATAGGAGAAGTATATTGTAAGGTACCAGACAGTGGCAAAGAAGAGGTGAGTTGCTGCACTGATTAAATTGTGGTGCCTGTTACATGATACCAAGGCAATGATCTGTTGGAAATAGCCAAAAAGCATGTAAATTATTGTTTGAAGACCTAAGATTAGCATCAGTTTCCTTCTAAAATGTTTTAGCAATTTATCAAAAATAATATTTTTATGGTTTTATGTTTTGCATTAGTCTAGTAAAATTCTTATGTCATGTTAAATAGTGGCAATTGTTGTGGCAACTGATCTGAAGTCTTAAGACACTGAAACTAAAGTTACCTGTAGCTTTGTCAAAGAAAGTCCTGATCTGCAGTTATGTCCTAGATCTCTAGACCCCGGGTGGACATGATATTCAACATATTTATTTTTAGAAACATCCTG